AGTATTTCCTGCAAGCAAACCTAGGCAGAACAGGCTTACATAATCTGTAAATAAAGGGCTGCCTTGAAAACTGGACCTTATCCTTTTATATAGTCTTGCCTCCAAATTACTTATCATCTTTTAAATCATGACTTTTTTGTAAAGTGGCGGTTTCAACATCCATGCTACACTGTCAGATGCTTGGAGAAGTGGAAAACTGCCTCGCTCAGAAGAGAACTTGCCTGCTCTTTAGCACTTTATGAGCAGCATTCATTTAGTGTTATTTTGCTATTGCTTTACTTACAGTTTTAGTCTGAAATGTCTCGTGTTTACTGGATCAGCAAATAATCAAGGTCTTTAGATTTTTTTGGAATGTATTTTATTTCTCTCCCCAAAAAAAGTTAAATGACTCTATTTAAATAGCTTTTACCACTATATGCAAAATACAAATAAAATGTAAATAGTTTCTTCTTCTAATCCACATCTGCCTGGGTGTAATTACATGATACATGCTGGTTAAGCACAAAAATTTTGAATAGACAGCTTTTTAATTAGGCATGTGCATTGGGTCACAGTAGAATTAAAATGGGTTGTAAAAAATTGATTGTATAGAAATGGCACCTGCTTACTCAACAGATCTGATTCTTGGGTAAAGCTGCAGACACGTGACTGTGTCACATACATGTTGGCCCTCGTTAAGGAAGCCAAGTTCAGAGCCAGGGCACTCAATCCTTTCAGTGATGGGGACAGATTGTAGCCTGAGTTAACCACTTGTATAATGATCCTTTGTAGAATTAGTGACTTTCGAACGGGAGAAAGAGCTGGTTTACATCTGTGGCTCAGGTTTCAGTAAGAGGAAAATTTAGGCATACCTGATGCAAGTTTGAGTGCCTGAATGCCTACAGATATATTTCTATTTCACTTTTTATCAGATTTAGTAAATGATGTTTTCCCCTGAACATCAGCTCCCAGAGTCCAGTGAGTGAACGGAGGATCTGTGGATAGTGGTTACCTGTCAGCTTTGCAGAGTCTGTTAGCACACGAGTAAAACTTTCTGTATGAGCTGAAGGTTGGGAAACAGTTCTTCCGGTCTGAAGAGACATACTTCGTTGGGCTGTTCAGTGTTCTCACACACCAGCAAGTGGTCCTGAAATTATTTGAGTGCAGCAGCAGTTGAGCATTATGTCTCCCAGCAGCTCTTTTAATTTCACTGTGGCTGCCACAGTATTTCCTGTCAGATTAAGTGGTCAATTTTAAATTATCTTTCCAATCGGTAGCTGTGGTTACTATATGCATGTACTTCTCCCCAGGTTACGTTCTGGATATCTTTTAACAGTTAATTTAATTTTCTTTCTTAAAAGAAGTAAGTTAGCATTTTCTTGGCAGGTGTTTTTTTCAGTATTAATATGCAGTAGTCATCTTACACTGCAATCTCCTTTAAGAAGGCAGTATAATTCAGTAATTTTTATTTTAAAAATAAGGGTAATTCTGTAATGAGTATTAACAAAACATAGGCCTGATTGGTTTTTTTTTTAATGAAGCTAAATCAGGCTACCATGTACTGCAGGAATCAAGGTTTTATCTTTTGTCTATAAAGGTTATGCCATGCAGATGTTAGCAGACAGAGCCAAATTGTTTTTACAAGGTTCTGTGGCAGGTCAGAGTACAAGAAAACAGCGAATATCTCTTGATGCAGAACTTCTGAAATCTTTTACATCCGAAGAACTGCTTCTACCCATGCATAACAAAAATTATTTATTCACACACTGGATTAACACCTGTGACAGGTGGAAAGGAGTTGAGATTCAAAGTTTCAGAATATGATTTGGCTCTTACTGTTTGATTAAATGATAGCTCGTGTACTAGTTCTCTGTGCTGCTACTAGTACCTGTATGTGAACATATAAAAAGTCTCATTTCTAAAGAATCTTGACCTCTTCCATGACCATCAATCACGTGCTATTGTTATTGAAATTACCCCCGTGATTCATATCTCAGTACTGGAGACATGCTAACACCTCTGAATTTATTATTTTAATGTTGCAGCATTTTGCAGATAGAGAAGACAAGGTCACTGCTGAGAAGTGACAGAAATAGCTAGTAATGACAGTAGATAGTGTGGGTAGGCAGGTGAAGGGAGAGCTTCAACAACGAAGTAATCACATATCGCTAGTTCTGAAGCTCATACCAAGTACGCATATGAAGAATTTAGAGGAATCGGTTAAGAAATGCAGGTGGGAATGAGTAATGCTGGAGAAGTTAGTACAAGTTACATGGGCTATAAATGCAGCAAAAAAACAATGCAGCCTGAGTTTTGCAGAGCTGATGCTTCCTGTGCTGACTTGCCAAAGCTTGGGCTGTTTTTTACCTCCATTGCTCCTTTGCTACTGGCTTGTGCTGACTGCAAGGGGGTAGCAGATCTGTCTCTGCCCCCCACCAAATCACAGCGTCTTGTTGTATTTCAAGTGCATGGAGACAGATAGTAAGAGCTTGATCCAAAACCCATCTGAGGCAAAGGAGAAGTTTCTACTAGACTTTGAATATGGTCATAAATTAACAGTGAAGATCTAGTCTGCATATTTTCCCTTGCATTCAGACTTTAATGTTCAAAGGAGTCTAAATAATAAGATCAGTCAGTTCACTGAGGTACCATAAAAAATTCCAGCCAAGGATCCGAGTGCACAAGAAACAAGAAGAAGAAGTAAGCCAAGTGTTTGCATACTAGCGGGGGGAACACAAGTGAAAAAATGGAGGAACCATGCCTACTAGTTCAAGATTTGTATACTGACACTAGGGGTAATAAAAATATAGCAGAAAGAGTAACTGTAGCCACTGAATAATACAGATTCTTCAGAAAGGAGGGAAATAGAGCTGGTAGCATTACATGAAACATTAAGATAATTTGAAATTAAATGACTTAGGTCGATAAAACAGTTTAGATCCAACACTTCAAGCATGAAAAGGAGTATTTTTGTAGAATTGATGCTAGCAAAAAATCCCCAGGGTTTGAGATTTGACTCTGTAACCTTATTGTAGACAGGAATGCAAGTAAGAATCTGTAGAGGATGTTGAGGCTCAAATTTCTTCACCAGTCACCAAACCAACAAAAGAGAATGGTATTTTAGGTCTGGTTCTTGCTTTGACATATGTTTTATGTACAAAACATAAACTTTAATCAAGCATTCGGGCATTGATTCCATTGACATTACATGACAAAGTAAGTAATGATCAGCAAACTTTAATAGGCAAACCAGGGTAGTTAAAGAAGTGAAATATTATGGGGCTTCATGCATATTTCTGTGAAGAAGACATAAAATTTCATCAAGTGTAACATACTGCGCTGTATCTGACAACAGTGGACTAGGTTCAACCATCCAGGAAGTCCCCTCCAGACCTATGTTCCTCAATTTGTCAGTTAAATGCAAGAGCCTTAAGTATAACAGAGGTAATTGTAAGACAGTTTGACAAATTTGGTCGCTGTCAGTATTCTTTAGCATTCAATGCTGAAGTTGGACATTGGCTGCCAGACAGTAGAATCTATTCCTGGACAGTTTAGACATTTTGAGATGTAGTACAGGATATTTATTGTTCTACTGTGTATCAAACCTGCTACTTTATCCAGAGAGTCCCATTCAGGGGTCTTCTCTGCAGACCAGCCCTCCTGGTCACTTTTTTACCATGAGGGCAACCAAGCACTGGCACAGGTTTCCCAGAGTGGTTGTGGAGTCTCCATCCTTGGAGAGATTCAAAAGCCACCTGGATGTGATGCTGGGCAACTGGTTCTAGGTGACCCTGCTTGAGCAGGATGGTTGGAGCAGATGACCTCCACAGGTCCCTTCCCACCTCAACCCTTCTCTGATTCTGTAAACAAGCTCCACTGATTTTAGTAGGTTTGATTCTAAAAGCTAAGCAAAGTTTGGTGCTTAATATAAATGTTCTGCATAACTTCAAAGATACCCACTCACTGTGAAACTGTGATTTCTGGAGGCAGACTATGGCTTGCTCAGAAAATCAGGCAGGAATTAAAAAGGGGATTGATATTATGCTTGTCCATATACACCCATTATTATTAGAAACAGCAGGAGAGATCAAGCAGAAGAGATGCTACAGGAAGCTTTCAGGGAGTTTTTCTGAACTAGGGAGGTTTTGAACTTGGCATTAGCGTGGCACTGGCTCTGTAATGGTCTTAACTAACCTCTCTTCCTGCCAAATCCTGGGTACATCTCTCTGTGTCAGCAGTGAGGAACACTCAGCCTGGAAAATGAATTAGATCTGGAGAAACTCCTACAGTCCAGACATGTATTTGAAGGATTTCTGAAATTAACTCCTTTTATTCCTCCTTCATGTCTCATGATCTGAACCTCTGTTTCTTCCCAGTTTAACACCACTGCAGCTACTTCTTCGAGTTGAACTTAGCAACTCACGCCTTTCTCCCCATTCCTACTAACCTTCAGCCACATGTTCTCCGTATGACAGTACGGCATTATGGGTCCCAAATGGTTCCACAGTGAGTGAGTTACAACATCAGCGTGTGCCTGGACATGCTATTCATGTTACACCTCAGAAACCTCAAAGACCTTCAAAATGTTGATTTAGGAAACGCAGAAGAATTTTCTGCTTGCTTGTGAGGGATAATGCAGGGTCATTATTTGAAGGAGTTCTTAGCCAAGACCTTCTAAAGCTCAGTTTTGCCTGATTAGTGACAGGGAAAATGGACTACTTGGCCTATGTATTTCCTGACTGCACTCTCGTGGAGAAGATAACTTGTTTTCAGTGGAGACCTATGTAATGTCAACTAGTTTGTCAGGTTTTCTGATTTACAAAAAACAGAATTCCTACATAAAACGTAGTGTTTTAAGTTTTAGATGATAGCTAATCCTGTACAAATGTATAAAGTAAATAAACATTGATTCACTCGCCCAACACAATGAATGCATTATTCCCTTTGCACCCCACTTAATTATTGCAAGAGAGGATGAACAAACAGATTGGTCTCCTCCCACCACATATCTGCATTGCCAGAACTCAGGGAAATAAAGACTGCATGGATTAAAAAGTTGCAAGGGTACCATCAGCTACTGAAAGAGGAACATGCCTTGAAGAGGTCTCAGTGCAAGAGTATCGGTCCTGTTATGGGCAATGTCAGCCTGACTGCTAATGCAGAAGCCAGGGGTGAGGATGCAGGTAAGATCTTTCTATGCCAGGGCATCAGCAAATCACAATGAATCGCAGCCATCGTAATGATAATTTAGTACGGTACGTTCTTTCTGCCTTTTAAATCTTAACTGTTGGCAACTGGTTTACTCTCAGCTGCTTGAGACAGAAGCATTGGAGTTTTTTCAGCATTACCTGTGAAGTGACCTTAACTGCTTTTGTTTATAGTTTGAAATCCATTTATGATGCACATTTAAGACAGTATTTGCTGCTCCTAATGGTTCTGTGAATAATATTCATAAACATTTAAAGTCTCTTAACATTTTTTCCCTAGATGTCCTCTGACGAAAACTTCCTCTGAATCACAATTTGTGCATATGTGATTAATTACTGTCAGGCTGTTAGAAGGGCTGATCATGTGGGAATTGACCATTTTGTTTTCACATAGAAACAGCCTTTGCCTTTCGCTGTCACACAGAAACAGCTCTTGCACTGGCATCCTGGTGATGCTCTTTTTTTTCCTCAGTTTGCTCAATTAGATCTTTTGATTGAAGTACTTGAAAGACATCATTTCATAAATACACTTGAATCAATTTCAACCACCTCATCTTCTTAAAATCATTGTCATTTTACTGCTAAATTTTGGAATACCATTAAAAAAATTTAGGTTTTGGTAGGTCAGTTTTTGAACTGTGTACCTGTAGACACCTAACAGTGTTGTCTGTATAAATGATTTCTTCTTCCTAATTAATGGTAGGATAATAAGATGATCTTCATTTAGAAAAATACTTTAACTTGTGAGTTCTCTAACTGAACATTTGCATATTGGTTATAAAGAAGCAAGCTGTTTATTAAAGTGGAAACTGACTGTGGTCATCAAACTGTTCTGAATATCATTTGTACTGTTTACTCATTTTTATTTTGATATGCATCTTAACAGTACCATAAAAAAATTGTTTATGGCTCTAAATATATAGATCCATTCTAACAACAAGAATAACCTGAATTTGTTTCTGAACTTTTCAGTAACAGAATCTGGTTGGTGCATGAGCAATATGGAGACCCATAAATATCCTGTTGACTTAAAGTATTCTGCTTTCATATATGCTCTGACTGGTAGCTCTGTACTGTACATGAGACAAGATTTGGTGGCAAAGATAGTATCTTTATTTTTATTTGACCAGTAGTTTTATCTGAAAATATTAAACTGACTTTCAGACATTTGCCTAGATTTTTCTAATAAAAAGCTATTATGTCTACCTACAAAATGTGTCCTGTCATTGTCCTTGAACCATCATGGCTACAACAAAATACCACTAAATATCTCTACGATATGCAAGATACAGTTTAGTTCATGCCTAGAATAGGAAATGACTGTAGTAGTCTTGGATGTCTGGTGGCAAGTAATGACATTTAATCGGAAACTGTCAGTATTATGAGCAATGCAAAAAAGTATTTCCTTATGCACATGCATGCAGAGTCTTGCTTCCCCATTCATTGATTGTTAAGTCTGCGATTACTTACTATTTCCTTTGTTTCCCTTTGATTCTTCACCAAACAATGGTATTTCTTGATAACCAACCCTCCAAATAAACTTCCATTATAAAACTTCCATTATATCTTATAAAAATGTAATCTGTGGACTATACTAAAAGTTAGTTAAGAAAAGATATATGTCTGAATCCAGCTTAATTCTCCAGCTGTGAGTTTCCACAGAAAAGAAATAAGAAGTAGTGCTGTCATTGTCTATTTGTATTACATTTGCTGGCAGATAAACTTTTATTTTTTGTCTCCACCATTTCAGTCAGCATGTTGATCTAATTTATTTTATTTTTTATTAGAGTTCTAGCTCATTAAAAAAAATGCACTGCATATATAGTAACTGAAATTGTCTTATGTTGTCACTGTTTTTTCTTCTCTTTCCAGGTGATGTCATTGTCTATATTAATGAAGTTTGTGTCCTTGGACATACTCACGCAGATGTAGTCAAACTCTTCCAGTCTGTTCCTATTGGTCAGAGTGTCAACTTGGTGCTATGTCGTGGATACCCTTTGCCCTTTGATCCTGAAGATCCTGCCAACAGCATGGTGCCACCCCTTGCAGTAATGGAGAGGCCTCCGGTAGTGGTAAATGGAAGACATAACTATGAAACTTATTTGGAATACATTTCTAGGACTTCTCAGTCTGTTCCAGATGTAACAGATCGACCACCACACTCCTTGCACTCCATTCCAGCAGATAGTCAGCTTGATAGCACATTCCCACCACCTGCCCATGATGATAATGTATCAATGGCTTCTTCTGGGGCCACCCAAGCTGAACTCATGACCTTAACCATTGTGAAAGGGGCCCAGGGCTTTGGCTTCACTATAGCTGACAGTCCTACAGGACAGAGGGTGAAGCAAATTCTAGACATTCAGGGATGTCCTGGTTTGTGTGAAGGTGACCTCATTGTTGAGATCAACCAGCAGAATGTACAGAACCTGAGCCATGCAGAAGTAGTGGATATACTTAAAGAATGTCCTGTTGGAAGTGAAACTTCTTTGATTATCCATAGAGGAGGTAAGTTTGGAAAGTCTGTACAATTGCAAAAATGTGTGTAAAAGGTTATAAACCATAGACATCCATATACTCACTAAATCCTTTTGTGCTAGATTGAAAATTAATTTCCATGTTGCGGGAGGGAACACCTTTTTTTCTGGAACAGTGTGTCTGCAGTTAAGTATCCTAGGCAAAATCTAACAGTTTGTTTTGCATTCCTTTTTGTGTTTTGAGTGTCAATGGTCCCACCTCTGCATAAGGGTAAAACTAGAGCAGTTCCAGACCTTTCACCCCATCATACGTATGGCGTCTGCAGCAAACGCCTATAGTCCTAAAGCAGTGCTGCAAGCTTTAGATGTAATTGTATATGTTGACTCATTAAGGTAGATCAAAATCAGTCATCTGTTAGCCCCTTACAAGGTTACTGGTTTTGATAAGCCGTTTTGCTTCCTTTTCCTTCATTGTAAAAGTATTGTACATCAGGTTTTTTGCTTCTTTCTTATAACAAAGATCTATAGTATATTTTTTGCTGTTTTAAAAAAATAGCTGCTAGCAACTTAGTTTTTCTGCCCAGCCTGTGACAGTAACCTTGAATATACAACCACTGGAAGGGGAGAGTCAAAGCCTATCTGTATGGAGCAACAACAACAGAAGAAGTCTTAATACCTTGACAGTGATAAGTAATTTCATAACTTTTAATACTTTGGCCAAATGAATTTCTTCATTGGTTTTGATAAGCATCCTTCATGATTCATTTTTACCTGAAGTGAATAAGGATTTAATTTCTTTAATTAAATATCTTTGTTCCTCTAAAGGCACTCACATGTCACTGAATGTACATTACGCTGTGCTTCCGGGGGAAAAAAAAAAGGGATTCTATACAAAATTACTAATCACTTTCCTTCTGAAGAGTAGAGGTTGAGAAGTGAAGCTTTAGTGTTTGTGTCTGCCAAACGCTTGTCATTGGAAAACCTACAAATCCTTAGAACAAGGAATATAGTAACATTTTATCGAATTGCAGAAATAATAAACAGCAGGTGATTTAAATATCTGTAGATTCAGAGAGTCAGTAAAGTATTTTTCATATCTATATTTGTAGGAATGATTTATAAGAAATGGAATTTGACATTTCTTTTGAGTGAAAACTAATTAAGAGTTATAAGTAAAGGCCAACTGGTGTCACTGCAGGATATGAACTTGGAGAAAGTTAATTGTTGCAGAGGTGCTGCATTAGCTGGTATTAAATCTGGTTTTACTTAACATCCAATAAGAATCTAGAACAGTGGAATAAGTAACATTTTTTTCTGAAGGCACTGACAAATCAGGGAGAATTTCATAGTGAAGAAGAGTATAAAGGGGATAAGAAGGGTTAATGTAACCCCAAAAAATGGGACTTAATTTTGAAAAATGTAAATTAATCCCCCTCTAGAGGAAAACAATTCAGAACACCAATCTTCAGAGAGAAGTGGAGTGTGAAATCCAGTATGCTGAACAAGCCTGAGTAATAATAGACAGCAAAATAGATATTTCAGCAATCAGTGCAGGGCCGTAGCAAAAAAAAACCCCTGAAGCAGCAACATACTCAAGCCCATGAGGATAATTCCTCTCTCTTATGAGAATTTCTTCTTAGAGGGTCGATTCATGATCAAAACAATCTGGTCAACATGAGAGTTTAACAGGTTCTGGTACATTAACTGATCTGTAGCTCTTTTCTACACATTGCTGTGGCAGATAGGAGATACAGCACTGAGCCCAACCCTCGATAAAAGCAGGGTAAATTTACACCGTCGTGTCTTTCATCAGGCCGAGCGTGGAGGTACAGATAGATACCCTTGCTCAGCTGACGCAAAGTACTGGGTCCAAATGCAGAAATGCGTACCCCTCTGTTGCTGGGGCAAGGGGTGGTTGGTTGCTCTAGAGACTGCAGAGAAGAGAACAAGAGCATGTTTTTTTCATGGTGAAACAATGACCAAGACTAAAGTAGCTGTTTGGAATTACTACAGAGTGATTAAACGTAATAGGATGATACAGAACAAATGCAAGTTTACTATCAGAGGTTTCCGTACATCAGAAATAAGGAATACACATTAATGCAAGGTTTTTAGACTCTGAAATTGAAGAAAAAGCTCATTTGTTTGTTTGATTCAAAAGAAGTGAAAAGAAACACTGTATGAGACAAACCTACTGTACCTGAGAGATGGCTAAATCATTGCTTAACAGAAATATGAGAACTGTTTTAAGGTGACAGCCTGTTTTTTTCATAAAATCATAGGAAAAGGGAATCCATGCGACCAAACATACATCTATAATGTAGGTGATTGTATCTGTGCTAGTTGCCATGTCTCCTTTTATAGTTCCTGTGCAGAAATAAGCCTTTCTAGGGTGCAATTCATGTCACTCCAATGTAGGTGCTTCAGATAAGTCAGGTGTACCCCAAAAGTACGTATTCTGTTTGACTTACTGCAAAGGGAATTGAGGATGACTGGCTCAGATGTGCATGTCCATCCCGCACGTTATGAATAGCAAACTGATTATAAGATTTGGTCATGTGAGATAAGCTGAACACCAAACACTATTCTAGTACTTAGAGAAACCTGCTATGATTTTAAAATATTTAGTGTGTGACACCGTTGAATCAAGGCATACTTTCTCGTTACTCATGGATCCAATTTTTATTTTATTATCTCTAATGTGTAATGACACTTGAGTAATACCATCCTTTTCCATCATTACCCTATGCATCCTGTCTTAAGCATCTCATTTTTAAGATTTAAGACCGAAGTACTGTTCCTGCCTGTGGAAGAGAAAGGCTGTGTTTTGCATAAGGCTGGGTGTTGCCTTGTAATGTATTCTGCCTCTGATACGAATATGGCCTGACTGCATGGTTCACTGTGGCAAATCCATTTTTGTAAGTGACTTAATTTCTCTCTCTCATCCAGCAGTCTCATCTACATTGCAGACAAGAAACAGATTGACCATTGGCTGAGATTTATTTTCACTATAGGATAAAAGCATCTTTTACAGGAAAAAATGCTCACTGATATGCATATAGTATGTGTACTACAGCCTTTAAAAAGTCATTGTCTCCCAAGCTTAGGAGGTCAACAGCCAGAGTATGCTGGGGAAAGAAATGACTGCATGTTTCACAAAGATGGAGGGAATAGCAATACTCAAATTCAAAGAGACCACTAAAAAAACCTGTTTGAACCAACACCAAAGAGAGGCTTGTCATGGTGTACAATCCAGCAGAAGGAAGTCCCACTGATTTATATTATACTCATTTTAAAATTTCTAAAGCAGAAGGAGTAATGTACCTGCTTGTTAATTAAAAAAAAAAAGGAAATAATATTGTTGTATATCTAAGAAAGTACTAAGCTGTACCTGTTTAGATGATAACTGTGATACTCTGTGGCTAGAGAGCTTACAATCTTCTTTGTGCTTATTAGTCAGGTTCTTTGCTAAGCAAACACAGGAGCACTGCTTAGGTTTCTTTGCATGTGTTTTTGCTGACAAGCCATATAGTTTCCATTGATAAGTCGACAGAAGTGTTCATACTGAAAAGATGACAGAACATTGTTGCCTAAAAAAAAGTGAAAATTAATGGAAAAAAGAAGGGAAGAAACAGATATGAAAGTGTGTGTTTCAAACAGATTTACCAAACAGATTCACCCTTTCCAGCTCTGCTTCAGCCTTCACGCTTCACCCTCAGCTTCTGCAGCAGTCTGCGTTGAGGGTAGGCTGCTAACATGGTGTGGAAGAGCTCGCAAAAATCAATCTTTCTGAGTGTGGATAGAGCAGAAATTCTGTATTAATTCAGAACTACTAAAAACCAGCACTACGTCGTTGAAGCCGTATGTACGGAATTTATGTAGAGCAGAATATTAATGAATTAGGACATCAAAAATTGGTTTTGGCTTGTTCTACCAAATGAGCTATCCAGGTACCTGAAATATGCTATCTCTTCTGGAAAGTACCTTTGAAATATATGAACCTATAGAGAGCAGCCCAGCCCCAGAAGTGTTCCTGTCTAAAAAAGAACTGACACATTCAAATGTAGGTCCATCAAGACTATGTCTGAAATACTGTTGTTAAGGAAATCTGAAGACAATCCAGGATGGATTCATGGTGCTATGGCAACTTCTAAACAAGTGGTGTGAGTGAAACATTAAAACTAAATGCAAAGTGGGAGCCTGACAAAGTTCCTACATCAGACAGCTATTTTATAATGGTGGAATCCAAACAGGCTCTGAGAAACTGAGACTGTTAGTACAAAACAAAGTCAGGGAACTGACACACTGTCCATACTGGTTAATTGTTAGGCCACTCCTGGCATGGGTCTGAAATAAGCCAGCAGCCAGTTTCACCCTCACCCAGCATGGGAGATGGCATTGGGCACACACAAGGCACAAACAGTGAAGATTAGGAGGAATAATTTAACTATATAGATGTAAACTGCAAGAATAAAAGGATGGCCAAGTAGCTTTCTCCGATTTTGCATAAAGCCCAGTAGAAGGGGTTAACTCCATAAGACTGCTAAGAGATACCAGTACATCACAAGAATCATAGAATCACGGAACGGTTTGGGTTGGAAGGGGCCTTAGAGATCATCCAGTTCCAACCCCCCTGCCATGGGCAGGGACACCTTCCACTAGACCAGGTTGCTCACAGCCTCATCCAGCCTGGCCTTGAACACTTCCAGGGATGAGCCATCCACAGCTTCTCTGGGCAACCTGTTCCAGTGCCTCACCACCCTCTCCAGGAACAACTTCTTCCTGATATCTAATCTAAACCACCCTGCTTTCAATTCAAACCCACTTTTAAGAACTATCAACCATTTCCAAAAAAGCTAACATTTCACAAAAAACCATCTCTGCATATTCTAGTGAATAAGCCTAGCCCCTCATAATGAGCAGACTTCAGTAGAAGGAATACTACCTCCTCAGTGCCCTTTCCATGGACTGATCTCAGATTTACCACTGTACCACAGACATGAACATTTTTTTGTCCAGTCTTGCTATAAGATGTCTTTCAATTCCTCTGGTCAGGAAAGCTTATACTTCTTTTTCTCCACATTGTCTTCTTTCTTGGGAAAGCTGCATAAGATAAAGCTGCAGGGAGCACCATCACCCTGCTAACGCTAGTCTGATTCCACAACCTCAGCCTGCCACTGAGGTCTCTAGAGCTTTGACTCTGCTTCTGCAGTTCTTCTTTCAATATTTTAAGAGATTAACCGGTGCAAACTGGAGACCCTGTGTCTCATGTCTTGCTTCTCCCCAGTTCAGGATTTTCTAGACAACAGTGCTGAGGGCTTGAAGAAATGAAACTGTTAGGAGGATGGTGTGTTTGATTTGGGACTTACAGAGGTTATCTATCATCCTACCATCTCTATTCTTTTACATCCTTGAGTCATTAGTGAATTGTTTTCCTTCCAGTAGCTTCC